GCTGCTACTGCCTCCCGAGCCTGTTTATGCCGGCAGCGAGAGGCTGCTTGGGGCCTCTCAGGAAGGCCTGGCTCCAGGGAGCAGGCAACCTGATGCAACGCCGTGAAAAATGACCAGCGTTAAATAGTAAGCATGTTTACTGCCTCCCCCTGAGGTCGACTATATCCCTTTCCACGCTCTGCAAAGGAAACGGCGAGGGTGGCGCCTAGCGTGTGTCCTGTGCCCCCTTCCTGCAGAGAGCGCGCAAGAGGTTTTGCTGCTGCTGCAAGTTTTTCCTCTCCTGTGCGGAGATTTCTGCCGCGCTCAGGCTCAGTTTTCTGCAGGTCCTGCTATTCCCCCTTGGAGACCCTTCTCTCCCCTCCTGGGGAGGGTTTATGGCATCGATAACATCAAGTGCAACATGAGCAACTTGAGTTTTGGTACTGTCCCTGTGGCTACCTGGGCCACCGGTGCCATTTAGTTCCCTGCTATTTGCCTTGTCGTGTTAGGATTGCCGTAGTGCCTCTAGGTGGAGTTGTAGGCAGCGCTCTGGCCGCTGGATTTTATTTGTCTCGCAAGAATTGCCAGTGCAGTAGAGTGTCACAGTGTTAAAACCAGATACGGTGGGGCTCTGCGGGCGTATCTTGAGACAGAGCCGTTAAAGTGCCTGACCTTTCTGTGTCGCTGAAATAAGAGACCGTTGCATCCTCTGAGAAAGACAGAGGCCTATGCAGATGTTCACGTATTAAGTTACAAAATACACGTTACAGATCGGGCTGGTGTTGACTGAGAACTGGCAAACTCCGTGAAATGAAGTGGTAGGTTCTCGGTGAACCCAAATGACAAAAGTGTGCCCTCCAGATTAGGACTCCTAGCAGACAGGCAGAAACCAGAAGGAGCATGGAGTCATTTTACTGAACTGTATTTGCAGCTGCGTGAAAGCTCTTATCTGGGTAGATGGAGACCTTCATAGGGCTGCCAAGCGCTGAAGCATCTGTCTTTGCAAGCCCCAGCTTTTGCGAGTGGCCACCTTGGGCACACACGCTCCGAAGTCACAGCTCAGTGTGTCGATGTCTGCAAACACCCACTTGTCATCGCTCTTTGCTGGGAGAGGCTCATTTTGGCAGGAATAGACCTGGCTTTGGGGTGATAGCATGGTCCAAAGGGGAGAAGGGAGAAAAACAGCCTACGTTTCTCATGCAGTGACACTGATCTTGGATTTCATGGTTTCCTGTCCCCTCTGCCCTGCAGGAGGTGCTGGAGCTGGAGAGGACGCTGGGCGGCTATCTGCTGGAGGAACCCAAGCCCTTGCCGTTCAAGGACAGTTACCACAACCTACGTCTCTCCATCCACGACATCCCCCACTCGCTGTGGAGGAGCAAGCTACTGGCCAAGTACCAGGTGAGGAGCCAAGGGCTTGGGCAGCCAGGCCTGTCCATGCTCCCCTCCCCAAACTGATGGACGCTAGCGTTGCCCACGTCCTGGCAGATTTGGAGGTTTGGAGGTTTTCTTATGCCTAGGATTGTATCTGTAGTGGTGGGAAGCTGTACCCCAGAGTCCTGCCCGCTGAGTGGCTAACTGAGTGACCACCTTTCAGGTTCTTTCAGACTGTCTCCCAAAGGGAAGGAGGGGGAAGGAGGACTGTTTTTGTTTTGGTCTTTCTTGACGGATTGCGTCTGTCAGGTCCATCTATCCCACCTTGCCAGCTACCGTCTCCAAACAATCCTTTTCTCCTGCAGGGGAAGCAGGCGACTGGAGACCAGGGCTCCATTCCTGTTATTAATTTGGGGTGGCTGGGAGGAGCAGGGACTTCCCCAGAAAGTCTGCTGCATGTTCCACTGCTGCATTTGCAAGGCTTCACTGAGGTCATGGTTTGATCTGCAGGAAATCCCCTTCTATCACATCTGGAGTGGCAACCAGCGCGCCCTGCACTGCACCTTCACCCTGGAGAGGTACAGCCAGGCTTCCACCGAGCTCACCTGCAAGATCTGCGTCCGGCAAGTGGAAGGGGAAGGGCAGATTTTCCAGCTCCACGTCACGCTCGGAGAGGTGAGCAGAGAGGAAAGGAGGAAGGTATGGCCACACGGCCGTGCTTTGTTCCAGATTTAGACAGAGGAGCGTGGTCCGTGAAGGAGATTCAGATGATACCTCTTCTGAGGTTGCACTCCCAGGGTCTTCTTGTGAGCACCAGAGCTGTTCACAGATGTTTCTTGCCTCTTTCCCAGGGAAAAAAAAAAAGATCCTGTTACCCCAGGGTTTTGGCTCCCTTCGATCACATCTGGTGATCGAGTTGAATATGCTGTCATCTCTGTAAATGACTTGCCACATGCCAGCAGCTGCTAGTCACTCAGACATGAGCAGGCATCTGGGAACGCGTCCCCAGTGGTAGAGATGAGAGGTCGGATTTCATCTAATGTAGAGATCACTCTCACCCTGATGCCGGGGGAGCTGTACGTATCCCTCAGTATTTTATTGCCCAGGACACCACCTGTGCTACCTTGGATGCAGCCTTGTGTTTCTCGAGCGTGCTTGGGAGAGTGGAGAAGCAGGTTCTCCCTTAGCCCTCCTCCATGCTGAAACATCTCATCTCCTCTTTCCCCTCGCAGAATGCCAGCACCTTAGATGGCCTCCATTCGCACCACAGCAGTGCCGTGACGACCCAGCTGGGACCCTACGCCTTCAAAATCCCCCTTTCCATCCGGCAGAAAATCTGCAACAGCCTGGATGCTCCCAACTCCAGGGGAAACGACTGGAGACTTCTCGCTCAGAAGCTTTCCGTGGACCGGTGCGTTCCCGCATGCTTTTCTGTCGCCTGCCTGCGCCCTGAGCATCTGCGCCCTGGCCGCAGGACACCAGACCTGCGTGTCCGCTCTGCCGCTGGGGAGATGCTCTCTCTCGGGCCTGGAGAGAAGCCTTGTGCCCCTGTTGCAGCTGTGGCCAGACGCGATGCGCAGAGTTGGCAGTAGAGTAATTGGAGCGGAGGCGTATGCTTGCACTCCTCCTGCCATAGCGGGGTGCTTGAGGCTTGGAGGACGGGGAAGGTAAAAGCCCCTGGCAGGTCAAAGGGGGCTTTTCCCTTGGATTCAGCCTTGATGGAGTGCCTCCAGTTGGATTGTATCTGTCTATACCTATTTGTATCCATCCACTGGCCTAGCCGTCTGTAACCTCTCTGCATTGCTTTTGCACGAATGCCGCCTCCATATAACAAATGGAGGTGGTGTCTCAAAGGCCTTGGCGTTTGTGTTATGGCATTTCCTTCACGTTCGTGGAAACCCACACCAACCGGGACCTTCTCTCTCTTCCTCCTTTGCAGGTATCTCAACTACTTTGCCACCAAAGCCAGCCCCACTGGGGTGATCCTGGACTTATGGGAAGCCGAGCACCAAGACGACGGCGATCTCAACACCCTGGCCAGTGCCTTAGAAGAGATGGGCAAGAGCGAAATGCTGGTAGTCATGGCCACGGAGGGCGACTGCTGATGATGCTCCTTGCGGCTGGCAGCCCTCAGCCCGCGGTCGAGGAGGACGGCGCGGAGGGAAGAGCG